TGTGTGTGTGTGTGTGTGTGTGTGTGTGTGTGTGTGTGTGTGTGTGTGTGTGTGTATAAATGCATATGTGTATGTGCATTGTTATGTGTATAGTGTTGTTCTTTATTCTAACTCACCCTCTCCTGTATTGAGCTGCAGTAATGTGCAAATTTCCCCACTGTGGGATCAATAAAGTTTTATCTTATTTTATCTCATTAAACAAAAGGTGTGGTTTTAATTTATTTTTTTAAGTTTTATGTAGTCCAAATTGTCCCTTCATGGGATTATTTTGTAAGAGAAACTAGATTAAACCCTTAACATGTCTTTTCTCTGTTCTTCGTATCTGCAGCACTCTGTGGAGGTGCTTCCAGATAGGGATGCCTGGAAAGAACAGTGTAAGAATCTGATCAACTATATTTTTGACTGCGAGGACTCGGAGCCGTTCAGACAACCTGTGGATCCTGAGAATTATCCGGTAAGAGAATACAGCAGCTGAGTCCTAATGATTAAACAGCTACAGGTTGGTTTTGAAATAGAAACTGTGTTGTTGAAGTTTAAGTCCTGTATTTTTGCCTCTTTAGGACTACTTTGACATTATTGATACACCTATGGACTTTGGCACAGTCAAAAGGACCCTGGAGGAAGATCGCTATGAAAACCCTGTAGAGCTGTGCAAAGACACGCGTTTAATTTTTGCAAATGCTAAAGCCTACACACCCAACAAACGCTCCAAGGTAGGGGATAATTACAGTTTTACGTGGAACGTTAATCTGTTAAAAATCTCCTTTGGCTTCAAATTTGAGATAAATGTTCTGCATCTTCAGTGATTATTTTTTTCCCCCTCCCTTTGGGATTTGATGCATTGTTTTTAATCTCTTCTAGATTTACAGCATGACCTTGCGGCTGTCTGCCTTCTTTGAGGAGCAGATCAGAACAATCATATCAGAATACAAAACTGCTATCAAAAGCAGCGAGAGGCTCCGCCGCAGTCAGAGGTTTCGCAAGAAAACGCAGCAGGATCAGCCCTCTGCCACAACAAGGTGTGCTGTTTTCACCTCTGTTTGGCTGCTGGTCAAAAGCTGTGCAGTTCCATTTGATTATTCTTGTCACATCTTGTTYTTTGTTCTGCACGCTGCAGAATAGGGCTGGGCAATATTATTTCAAATTAGCACTTACAGTGACATTAGCCCTGTCGTCAGTCAATATAAACAATATTGTCTAATCTTAGATCTCACAAAAATTTATCAATATATCCTTTTAAATCTTTATATCACCCAGTTCTACTACAGAATCCTATTTCTTGGATTTGTTTCTATTTTTATATTATGGTACATTCACATGTAACCGGTTGTTTTATTTTTAATTGCTGTATTTGTCTTGTGTTTCTCAAGTCATAAAAGGGCTGGTGTCAAAACTCAGGAAAAATCGGAGCTAATATCAGTAACCAAATCTACCTCAGCCAAAGTGTCGGTTCCTGAGAGAGCCAGGCGAAGCCGCGGCAGCAGCTCAGGTCGCAGCTCCTCAGAGGACGACTCCGGCTCCAAAGCTGCCTCATCAACACCGGGTACGGAGAAACTTCCTGCAGGTTTTCTAACTGTAGCTGTGATTGTCAGGATGTCCACACTTTTACTATTGGAGTAGACTGAAACAGAGTTTGCCAAGGGTCAAATCAGGTTAATTTATTGTGCTCTCTGAGACCAATGTGAGACTATTAGTATTTTCAAGTCTAAAGCGTTTGATCCCATAGAATGGTCTGTTAAAATCAAATGTTTTATTTACGTCAAAAATCATTTTTAAAAAAGTAAGACGTAGGCACCAATATTTCTCTCTTTTGTACTGCTACAAACACTGAAACAGCCTGCTTTAATAATTAAAACGTTAAGTTTTACCGGCAGAATACTATTACCTTATACTTTTGAAGACTTGACACTAAATGAACTTGTTTGAAGGACACAAAGTTTTCATGATTGTGGTGTGAGAAAGTCTGCTATGAAAAAAAGAAAAAATGTTTTAATGTGCCTTTACTCAAACATTTAAATTGTCATCATACAAAGCAATCTTTTTGCTTTTCCTCTCCAGAGTCTGAAAGTGAGAGTGAACCCAGTGATTCGGACAAAGACGAGAAACGTCCAAGTTCTTCAAAACATCATCCAAGCAGACAAAAAGCCAGAGTTACAAGAAGCAATCGCTCCAAGCAAAAGAAAAAAGGTACGCCCACAAAACCAGAATAATCTGACATTCTTAAGTAGAGCTTCTAAATAAAACTGATCTTTGTGACTAGTTGCTGAGAGTGACGGTGAAGATGAAGAGGAGGAGTCTGCGAGCGAAGGTGGAGACGATGGGGAGGCGTCCTCTCAGTCCTCAGATCATCACTATCCCAGCCGGAGGACGAGGCTGACCAGAACCCGGGCCGCTGGAGACAAAACCAGATCAGGTAAAACATGTTCAACCTCGAAACCCGAGCACCAAAACTCCCACATTTTCCACTTGTTCCATCCCAACTCCAGACTGCTTGTGTTCAGAGAGCAGAGCAGAAACAAACGGCCACAGCAGCAGGGCGTCTCGCCCAAAGAGGCGTCCCCACCGGGACTCTGACCGAGCCTCGTCCCCGGGCTCTGATGGGGAACAGGAGGTCAGCGTCCGCAGGTATATTAAAAGAAAGACGGCGAGGGCGGCTGTCAGTAAAATGAAACTTCTTGAAGCGTCCGATGAAGACTTTGAGGAGGAGGACACGAGGCCAAAAAGAAGCAGCAGCCGAATTCGCCCCACGTCTCGTATCGGCAAACGCACCGCAGTGATCCAGAGCAGCTCCGACTCAGACGGAGAGAYATCAGAGAGAGGTAGGCAAACATGGAGATACTTTTATTTGTTTTGTTTTTGTTTGTTTGTTTTTTAAGTCACAACACATTTTTTACTCTGTTTTCCAGATTCTCAGAATACTAAGGAATCTGATGGTGAATCCAAGGCTGAGGACGAAGGCAACGACAGCGATATTTCCTCCTCCTCCCAGATTAAGCAGAACGGAGATGCAAGGTCCACAAAGCAGAAGACAGTGAAGCAGACTGTCAAGACTAAGGGAAACGGTAAGAAATTTCCCCACATATATTTAATTTTTCTTTTTAACTTTGCTAGGGAAGCAGTTTACAGGGCTGATAGTATTTCCGGCTTACCTCCAGGAGTGGGAAAGAAAAAATCTGACCTGCCTGGCCAAATATTTAACAGACATTTCTCTGGACCTATCAGAGGAGCAGCTTTCACTTTAAACACACTAGACAAGCCTACTAGCCAATCAGAAATCAGATGGAGGCGGGACTTGGATATAGGCACTTTGATTCAGGTCCAGCAGAAGCTGGAGCGGTGCTCGAAATAAAATGAGCTTCGTTAGAACAAGTTTGAAAAAGAACTGGAAAAAATATTGAAGCTGGAAGACTTGTAAAAACCAGCTGCCAGGGAAGAAGAATCAGCGGAAAGATGTTTTTTGATTCCTCCACTGGAGAGAGACGAGCCTCGCAGATGGATGCTAATGTTAGCTGAACAGTAGCAGACAGGTGGAGCCGGGGCARAGAGGCAGGCATGGCTTTAATCACAGTGACCTGGAAAACAACATCTGACCAACAGATGCGTGTTTACTGAGAGAAACTGTCAGGTTGTTGTGCAAAATGGTGACTGCCTGCCGCTGTGCGGGAGTGTGCAGCCTGTCTCAGTTATAATCGGCTGTTTATGTTTCTTGTTGGAATTTAACAATATTAACTATGGATGCGATGAATAACGTTTTATTAGATTAAAAATGTTCCAATCAATCAACTGATACTGTATCGTCTTCCCGTGCGTCACATGGTCCATTAAAATTGCTCAAACCTGTCAGATCTGCCTTCTCTGAGACTCTGTTTCAATTCAAACTAAAAGTAGAGACTTCAAACTGAAGTAGAAGTAGAACCAGAGATATGGTAAACAGTGTACCCCCACACTTTATCACCAGCAGCTCTGA